TGTCATCGCCTCCCCGTGAATCGGCCTCGCCTTCTCCCTTGAACTGTCGATGTCTATTTCCCCCAATTGTTGCAGATCCTCTTCTGTGGCCTTCAGGGGTTTGTCGGTGTTGGGTCAGGGGTGCGGGCGGCGGCCGTGAATGGGGTGGTCTCGGTCTCTTTAGTCGGCTGGCTGGGCTCGCTGCTAGCGCGGAAACTAGGGTTCGCCGATGGGGCCCCTAGGCCCTGTTGTTCGTCCTGCTCAGTGCTTTTTTCCGCGTCCGGTGGCTGTGTGTGGGGGCTCTACGCCGTTCTGCGGAGGTCGCCGTTGGTGGTTGCCGCTTGGAGGCTGAGCGGAGATTCCTCCCCTTCGGTTATTGGTTGGCTCGGGTTGATTGGTTGCAGGTGCGGGCTCATGGTTGAGGCGTTTTTGGTGCCGGCCTCAGCAGTCGGGTTGGAGTGGCTGGGTCAGAGCCTTGTGATTTCCCTCTCTCAGAAGCCCTTGGGGGTGGTGGGGATCCAATTTTTTCCGATAGTGCCGGGGACGGTTGTTCGGGTCTGGTGTTTTCGGGGTAGGATTGGTACTTGGTTAGTTGTGTTAGCCGAGTGGGGTTTGAGGGCTTTTTGCGTTGGCAAACTAGGTTGGCTCGGGAGGGATTCATGACTTTGGGTCCCGTTTTAGCTAGGCTTTGTGGCAGTGATGACCAGGGTCTCAATGTCTTGATCTCCCTTTAGCTAGCTTTGGTTCTTGGGTGCTCTTGGAAGCTTTTGGCCAAGGGAGGGATGTTTTTTTAGTCCTTTGTTTAGGTGTCGTTGATTTGTTTTCTTTTAGTTTTCTTTGCGTGTTTTATGGTGTTCTCGGTTTGGGTCACTTGACCCCAGTTTGCCTGGGGAGATTAGTTCGTATTCGGGTTCGGCTTTTGTATAGGCCTTATGGAGGTTTCGAGGTGGCTCCTTGAACTCAGCTTCTTCCTCGTCTGCGACTGTTCTCCGCTGGCTTAGTCTGTTGGTTTTGCTGTGGTTCAGAGATGATTACATGCTAGGCATTGTGCAGTGGCTCTATTTTTCATTTTCCTTTTATTTTGTTTGTGGAGTTTTCTAGGCCGCCATGTGCGTGTCCTCTCAGTTTTCTTTCCCTGTTTGTTTAGTAGGGTGTTTTTGGTTTGGGCCATTGGCCCCTGTCTCATTACCCTGTTGGGGTCTTAGATATTACCCTGTTGGGGCCTTAGATTACCCTGTTGGGGTCTTGTAATTTGTTCCTTCTGTACTTTTGTGCTTTTCTATATTACCTCTGTCGTTCTGGCAAAAAAAAAATAAGGTTTTGAAGTGGAAACGAGGCGAACGTTACATAGGCAAACAAGGAGATTTAGATAAAGCTGCTTCTAGACGTACAGAAACGAAAACGTGCAAGTGCGAGTTTGAGATAAAAGTAAAACAGTTGGCATGATCGACATACTGGATGATCCATACGAGTAAAGATAAAAAGAAGGGCTTTCATAATCATTCATTTGCTGTGTACCCTGAGGGTCATCGACATGTGAGCGGCCTCAGCCATTCATCTAAAAAGATTATTCATGATATGAGTGCTGCTAAGGCAAAACCGGCACAAATTTTGGCCACGGTCCAAGAAAAAAATCCAAGAGACAACGCTAATCGGCGACATGTATATAACTTTAGAGAAAAGTTGCGGAGAGAAAGTTTCGAGGGTAGAGACGTTACTACCTAGCTTCTATATTTGGCTACGAGTAGCAACTATCTAGTTTATACAGATGTCGACACAAATGCGTTGAAACATATATTCATGACTCATACTGCATCAGTCAGTCTATTTCGGACATATTACAGGTATGTCGACATAGATTCCATGTACAAAATAACAGGTGTGTTAGTTTATGAATATGTTATTAGTATGAATCTTAATTAGTATGTTCGATTAAGTTTTATGTGATTATATTTTTTGTCTTGTTGGTCTCATTTGCACAGGTACAAGATGCCGTTGGTAGACATGATTAGGATGACGTCGTGCAACAATAACTTCCTAATTGCGTATGCACTCATCAAGGATGAGAAAGAGGCCAGTTATGACTCGGTTCTACATAAGTTGAGACTTCTGATAGGCTCTCAGGTACATCCTAATACGGTTGTCACTGACAGAGAGTTGGGCTTAATGACTTCTATTATGAGGAACTTTCTCGAATCTGCCCACTTACTCTGCACGTGACACAGCAACAACGATGTGGATAACAGAGTCTACAAACTATTTGGAAAAAAAAAATATAAAATTTCAGAAGTTCTTGCACGGTAGGTGGAAGGCGATTGTCGATGCCAGTACGTTCGATGAATACAACGCTGTCGCAGCTCAATTGCATGCAAAATATGGGAACGCCCCACACGTGGTACAATATGTGGAGCAAACATGGTTAGTCCACAAGGAAAAGTTTGTGAAAGTTTAGACTAACCAGTTAACACATTTTGGTAACACAACTTCCTGTAGGGTGGTGAGTGCCCACTCTGAGTTGAAGCACTGGCTTCACACGTCGACCGGCGTGTTCGATACAGTGTGGCAGAATATTAATAAGGAGATCGAGTCTCAAATGACTGAAATCAGGTACATTCCTCATTTTAAACTGTGTTATTTCGTTTCACATATATTAGAATTATGGTTATTTCGTTTTAGTTTTGGCTTTTATTTATAAAAATAAATATAAATAAATAAAAAAGTCGACCAAAATATATATAAAAATATATTATATTTAATATATATATAGATATGTATTATTTATTTAAACAAACAATATAATAAAATATTAAATAAAAAATAAATATTGAATATATTTTTAATATATAAATAAATTGAAAAATGCACAATAATATTATTACTGCATTAATTATAATCTAATGTTATGTAATGTATTACCAGGTCAACGCTTGAGTCTTCGAGACTTAGGAAGAGTGTGCAGTATACGAGATTCCCTTTCGTGCGGTTGACATTGAGGGTCTCGCATTACTGCCTGAATTTAATGAACTCTAAGCTTACGAGTATGCGAGACTTGTGCTATGAAGTTTACGAGCGTTGCGGCTGTGTATTGCCTAACACTCATGGAATTCCTTGTGTATGTCTGCTTTGTACGGATATGATTCTAAAATGCCGATTGATATAGAAATGATCCACGAGTTCTGCAGGACACTAGAGATGTTAGAGCCAGGTAATTTAAGGTTAATGATTCATTTAGAATTTTTTACTTTCTGATTCATTTTTAATTACAAATTAAAGTACATTATGTTGTTTAATTCTTTGATTTTTTTTATCGTATACTTGTAGGGACGGATCACCAGACCAAGCGAGCCAGAGTGCATGGACAGATGCTGAGTTTTTTCGGACGCTTGTCAAAGAGGTTGAAACGGGCGATCCTGCGACGATGCGGTACAGAATCACCTTATGTACAGTCAGTTTTACCCTGACCAACAAGCTTATGCAGAACCTGAGGTTAAGTAAAATAGCGAGGTCGTCCCAAGAAAACGAATTCAACTAAGCGTAAACCATCGCATTGGGAGTAAAGAGATAATTCACGAGGTCGTCCGGTGGGGCGTACAAGTACGTCTTCGCGTGAACCGACAAGCGAGTCTTCTCAACCGTCACAAGAGGCAGAAGGTGACATAATTTTCTCTTATATAGTTCAACGTTAATTAAAGTATTTATATAAATTATATTATATATTTGTGACGTGAAATTATTGTGATATTCGAGAGAGTAGACCGACAGATATATTTGGTTTTCGATACTGGCAAAGTATTCCCTGGATAATGTTGGACTACATAGTGAGCTACCTGAATGTAAAGGCGAATGGAAACTGTAGATTTTGGGTCGTCGCGAGTTACGTGTATAGGGACCATGAGATGTGGCAACTCGTAAGAGAGAACATTGCGAATGAGGTTCAGAGCCACCGTGACTTGTACGAGTACATCTATTATAGGGATATCGACGCCGCACTCAGAAGAGTAAGGTGGGACGGGAGCCCTTGTGCCGAGATTCACTGGATGGAAGTTCCATGCGACCTCTACCCTATTGCGACACTATTTAATGCGGTTCTCGTTTGTTAGGCTCTGGTCCCGATTGTCATCAGATCAACCAGTTCAGTTGGACAGTATTGCCGCTCTCTGCACCATCAACGGCTACAGGACCACAACGTGAGATTGTCATGTGTCATCTTGGTTCCTATGCACACTACATTCGGGTAGATGTGACTCCGGATTGTCCATTACCGCCTATTCATCCTATGTGGTTCATACATCGAACTGCTTCAGTTGAGGGTTGGGAGAATTTGTACCAGACTAGGTTGCAATTGTGGTATGATGCTCAAAGTAGACCTTGAATAAAAGAACGATGATCTTCGGTTGAATAAAAGAACGATATTTTTTGGTTGAGGTATGATGCTTCTCACACGAGTCGTGTGGGTGTCCCACACGACTAGTTGGAAATGACGCACACCTAAAAACGGGTTCGGCATTTCCACACGACTCGTGTGAAACATCCGCACACAAAATAATGGGTTCGGCATTTCCACACGAGTTGTGTGGGAGACCCACACGAGTCGTGTGAGGCCACACGACCACACGACTCATGTGGCCTCACACGACTCTTGTGAGATTTTTATTTATCACCATTTTCACATTGATTATGTCACACATCATTGTTATGAGGTATTTTAGTCCAAATGTAGTATAACAAAAATAAATAATACATAACAATCTCATTAATGTTTTACAATAAAAAAAAAACATTCATTACATCATTATTGCGCATTGGCGTAATCCAATTTAAGTTTAGTCAATTTTTCTGCGTACTGCGCCGCCATCGCAGGATCAACACCTGTGCAATCCCGCAGACAGTCCGATGCAATGCTAATAGCACGGTCCATCCACTACAAAAAATGGAAGAATAAAAAGATATAATAAATATTTATTAAAAAAATATTGTATTGTAATCAAATAACATTAACTAAAATTTAGCAAACGACTTACATAGTCGGTATTGGCACGCGTAGGGACCTCGTTCTCGTCCGGCAGATTCTCGCCCAGGACAGTAGGATGGGAAACCTGACCGTACCACTGCAAGTACTCCGCAGTCGCCTCCCCTCGATCATGTGTGGTGACCGTCAGCATACTGGTGTTAGTGACTAAAATGGAGTAGCAAGAGTAATGTACAGATTTAAAAGATACATGTAAGCATAGTTACTCCTAAATCTGAGCAAATTATTTTGGTTGTTTGAACCAAAGTACCACATTGATTATCTACCTCGATCTTGGGGGGCTTTACTATTACTTGAAGCATTAGACTGAAGAGAATTCGCCTTAGGATTTTGGAATTTTGTCTCCATAGTCAACATCTTCAAGGATATTTTTCTTAAATAGTCTTGCTGCAAGAGAAAGTTAAAGATTAAAACAACAAAAGTAAAAATGGACGATATTTTCATCAACCCAAGAGAGCAAATGTTACATCAATTTTAGTTGGAAAGCATAGGGGAAACCAATAATATAAGTATTATACCTGACTTGTTGCTGCAGTATAATTTTTCTCCTCAAACGTGACAGCTATTTTCTCAAGTTCCTGTTGTCCCTCTTGTCCAGAGAAAGGAAGATGTCGCTTTAAAGTCTCCATTCTATACAGTTGAAGCGCCATAGTCTTAGTATGATATTCATAGCATTTCAATATGATATTCACAGCATTTCAACCGCAAAGAGAAAATAAATAACTACAGGAAAGCCAGGGAAAATTTTAGAATAAATAAATAAAGCTGATAGTCGGGTGAAGAAGAAAGTAAAAAAGAAAAGAAAAATAAAGAAAGCAGAACTATTCCATCAGTTCCACTTATGTATAACAACAGAACCATTACTCAAAATGCAGAAACAAAAGCATCAAACATTACATGATCTTATATACTTCTATTATATCATAATTGGGCTTCACATCAAAACCACAACAGGTTGTAAATTACGACATTAGAACCTCTATAGTCTTAAGTTGTGAATGAGGTGTAGCATTGGCAAACTAGTTTGGTAACGGAAAGCGTTTGAAAGAAACCCAGATCTTGTCCAATTCCATGGGAAACCTAATAATTTCTTTATCTTCCCTACATCATATGATTAGGCTAATCTGGTGATTCTTAACAAGCAACACATAACAGAAAGGATCACATTTCGCGACAAACTATCAAATGCACCCTAAACACAAGTTTAAAACACAAAAGTGTACAGAAAATGATGCAGTTTAAAATCCCACTATTTTTCTTCAACGCTCTTAACCATTGTCATGATCAGGAATGTTTAGTTACCGATCATTTAAAAGTGATAACAACAGTGTACTAACTTCCACGCTGAAGCTAGAGAAAATGAAAGTGTACTAACTTCCACGATGGAGCTACTCTTTCATTTACTTACTCCGTGGATAAACCACAAACCGATACGTGAGATAGTTAGAAAATCATTGGCATTCGACCCACAGAAAACTTCTAATAACAGGACGGATTAAAAGATCTAAATGTAGCTTCTTTAAGGATCAAATTATATACCATCTTTCTAGTTACAGCTACTCCAAAAACAAGCATGTCTTTCATAACCCCACCCGACCTCAATAACACTCCATTCGGACAAAAACAAATGTTACACTATTCAGACTTAAAATTTAATTATACATATGCAAATACTTGGTAATTAGGCAGGGAAACAAAAATTAAATTTAGAACTTTGCAAGCCCTAAAATGAGTAAACGTATCATAGAAATAATAACTAGAAACACTAACAAAAAATGTAAAAAAGGGACATTTTTTACTATACATCTTGTTTACTATCCTCTGTCTGGAATCGGGTTGTAGCTGAGTCCTCCAATCGCCTCCTTCCATACCCGCATTCGGCACCGATTCTCCGCCGATAACCTGACCCGGAATTTGGACCTGCCCTTGAGAAGCCCTCCGACAAAGAAGGACGAACCGTATCAAATGTCAATAAACATGCGGTGAAATTCAACAACATAAAACAAAAGTCGTTTCACTGAAGGCTACACAATTTTTTGGATATCTGAAGAAACAAAAGACCATTGAACCTGCTCAATTTTTAGTTTGTCGGCCGATCTGCGTGCTTGCGACTCGATTTTGACATAGATTTTGCTGCAAGGAGGATTGTGAGAAGGGGCGATGACGACGATTATCGGGACGTGTTTGATGGGAAGAAGTAATTCCCCTTTGAACGGGTTGGTGTGGTGTAAGAAGTAATTTAATGTGGAAGGATAGGAGGAAAATTCAACTTTCGTCACCTATGATTGGGCCCGTTGTAATTTTAGTCATACTAAGAGTCAAGTCGTATATCCATAGTGTCGAAGATAACGGGTCATCCGTGACCCAGGAGTCTCAGATACGGGAGTCGGCTAGGGCTTACTTCCTCTCTCTCTTTTCTTCTGAGCGGGATTTGCTTACGCACCCCGACCCGACCCTCTTTCCGACCATCCCGCAGTCGGTCGACCTGGTTGACCTCTGTGACCTCCCGAGTAAGGAGGAAGTCAGGGAGGCTGTGTTTGGGATAGATCCCAACAGCGTCTCTGGACCGGATGGGTTTTCGTCCCTCTTCTTCCAGTCTTGCTGGGAGATTGTGGGTGCTGACGTAGAGGAAGCTGTGAGGGAGTTTTTCTCTGGCCACCAAATGCCAGAGTCCTTCACGGCAACCTCCATCATTTTGATCCCGAAGAGATCGGGACCTAGCACTTGGTCTGACTATAGACCTATCAGCTTATGCAACGTGACTAACAAGATTATTTCTAGAATCCTCAACAGTCGTCTTGCTCCCCTCCTCCCCCACCTTGTCTCTCCGAATCAGAGTGGATTCATCAAGGATCGAGTCATTAGTGATAATATCCTATTGGCTCAGGAGATGATACACGACATCTCTCATGCGAATCGAACACGAACCCCGAACCTCGTGCTGAAGCTAGACATGGCCAAAGCATATGATAGGGTCGAGTGGTCGTTTCTCAGAGAGGTACTGGCTCGGATGGGATTCCCCACCCGTTGGATTAGCTTTGTGGAGGCGTGTGTGGAACACTGCACATTCTCCGTTTTGATTAATGGTAGCCCCACGACCTTTTTTCCCTCTACCCGCGGCCTTCGTCAAGGGGACCCTTTATCCCCCTCCCTTTTTGTTCTGGTGGCTGACTATCTCTCTCGCTGTCTTGACGGCTTCATTCGCGATTTCCCGAGGATGACCTACAGCACGCGTGGCTGTGGACCTTCCATTTCCCACCTTTCTTACGCGGATGACATTATCATTTTCACTCGTGCGAATGATAATGGACTAGTTGCTCTCATGAGTCTTTTGGACCACTACAGTGAGACATCTGGTCAGCTAGTCAGTGTTAGTAAGAGCACCTTTATCATGGACCACCACGTTGCAGACCATTGGGCCCACCAGATTCACGAGCGTACTGGATTTGCTCGTGGGGACTTACCCATCACTTACCTTGGGGCCCCCTTGTACAAAGGCCATCTTTCTCATGAGCTTTTTATTGACGTCCGTCAGAGGATGATTGACCGGATTTCTGGCTGGTCCCATAGACACCTTTCATTCGGCGGCCGCCTTGCTCTGATCAAGAGCACTCTCTGTGCCCTTCCTCTTCACCTTCTTGCAGTGCTTAACCCCCATCAGTCTACGATTCATGAGTTAGATCAGATCTTAGCTCGCTATTTTTGGAGCTATGGCGAGGGCCCGCGAGGTCGGCGACAGACCCACTGGGTAAAGTGGGACTCCATCTGTCGTCCCCACTCTGAGGGTGGGCTCGGGGTTCGGCGTTTCTCTGATATGATTACTGCGTTTTCCTACAGGATGTGGTGGCGTCTTAGGGAGGGCAAGTCCCTTTGGGCCCATTATCTCCTGAGGAAATATTGCCCTGGTGGTGCTGCTCATCCCTGTAGGGTGACTGCCACCGCTCGGGATAGTCGACAGTGGAGACGTCTCACCACTGTTGGCAGACGTGCTCAGGAGCACATATTTTGGACCTTGGGCTCTGGGGAGGTTAGCTTCTGGGATGAGTGGTGGTTCGGCGAGGCCCCCCTCTCGAGTACTAGGCCTGTCACTCACCTGCCTTTCATGCAGGTGAAGGACCTTTGGACGGGAGGTTTTTGGGATAGAGATAGGATGGAGGATATTCTGGGTGAGGGTGGGGGTTTTAGTAGTCTAGAGATTGACCAGATCCGACAGATTCCCATTATGGAGGGAGGTTTGGATGGCATGAGGTGGAGACTTACATCTTCGGGTGCATTCTCTACGTCTTCAGCCTGGGGAGAAGTGAGGCTGGGCAACCGGCCAAACCGCCTCTTCGGGGCCATATGGACCGATCTTCTCACCCCGACCATTTCCGTTTTTTTGTGGCGCCTCCTCTTACGGCGTATTCCCATTGACACTGTGATGCAGGCGAGAGGGTTCTCATTCCCCTCCCGCTGCCATTGTTGTGCTGAGACCGGTACCTTTGAGATTGAGACTTTCACTCATCTTTTCCTTGAGAGTGAGACTGTGAGGAGAGTGTGGGAGCACTATGCCAGATATACTCATATACCCCTACCCACTACAGATAGTTTTTTTGAGCTCCTGAGTTTTTTCGCTCACCGCACACACAGTAGACATGTGGGCTTCCTTATTCCTTGTCTGATCCTTTGGGCCACCTGGACAGAAAGGAATAATGCGAAGCATAGGGATATTATTTTTTCTTGTGCTCACATTATTTTGCAGGTTGACAGACACCTCTCCCTCCTCACCGCCCTGGGTAGACTCACGACGAGAGACTGGACAGGGTGTTCACCGCCCCATCGTTTGAGGCCACCACCTCCTTTACCTGTCCAGCACCCACGTCCCAGGATTATTGTTTGGCTGAAACCCAAGGCCCCTTGGGTTAAGCTAAACACTGATGGCGCTTTCGACAGACATACCGGAGCTGCTGGAGGAGGGGGCCTGATTAGGGATCATGGTGGGGCACTCATCTCTGCCTTCCATGGGCCACTCCGGGCCTCCTCGAGTTATGATGCAGAGATTCAGGCGCTCCAGATTGGTCTCGAGATTGCTGCCTCGATCTCCTCTCATGTTTGGATAGAGATGGATGCTGCGGCTGTCATCACACTTTTGACATCTGGCCACCAGGGCTCATGGCAGATCCAGCATCCTCTTATGCGTATCAGAGACACCCTTCGCTCGATTCACTACCAGGTCTCTCATATTTTCCGAGAGGAGAACCGGCCTGCCGATTTCCTTGCTAGCACGGGGGCATCTATACCCCAGAGACGCACCCTCCTTCCTGAGGACATTCCCCTCCGTCTTCGGACGCTCATTCGGATGGACCAGTTAGAGTACCCATCCTTCAGATTCGGTCGACCGCCACCTCCTGCCCCTGACTAGATTTGGCCGTCCTCTTATGAGGGCTCGATTTCAGACTCACAGCGCATACTTTTGTGACCTTTGTAGTTTTATTTCTTGTTTTATTTTTAGTTTTTTGTTTTTCTGTTTATTTTATATTTTCTCTGCTTTTGTTGTTGCTCCATGTATTTCTGACTTGGATGTAAACCTTCGACTTTATTAGCCCTAGCTGGGCCATATATTC